GGCTTAAGGTTTACAATCAATATCGTGTTGACTTCAAACTAAGCGTTTAGTTCCTACTTTCGTTTCTGATTTCGGTTTTAACATCTCTCCCAATCAACTAGTAGGAAGATTGAGCGAAGGATTCGCCGCCGAAAACACACCTACCTCAGACCCACATCGTGGTGAAGACTTGAATACGCCCTTACAAGGTTAAGTCAGGACTCCAGAGAGAACCAAGTTGCACGACCAACACTAGTCCAGCCTCAGTACCCCGCATACTGGGTGCTCCCGCCTAAGACGTCAGGCGGTGAGACGACAGGTGAGAAGCCAGAAAATTTAGAGTTACACAGGACGTCATTAGAACCTGATTTGACGAACACACGAACGACACGCCATGCAGATTGTTTCATACTACACACGTATAGTGCCAAAACACTTTCCACAGACGCCCATCTTCACGCCCTTCTTGTAGCCGCAGATCGCATTAAATTTCATGTGATCGCATTACAAGAAACAAAATTCAAGAAGACCGACATACGCCAACTAAACAAAGGGACCTTTGTGATCCGTGGAGAAAAGGTCCCGTTGCGAAATGTCGGTGGCGTAGGCTTTGTCGTCCACCCGTCCATTGTCCATCTCTTCGACTCATGCGAGATCCTTTCCCCTCGTATAACCGTCCCCCATCTTCAACTGTCGAACCATAAGAAGATCACTATCATCAACTGCCACTCGCCGACCGACGCAGCTGATGAGTACGAATTAAATGCGTTCTACTATCAGATGGAGGAAGTCATCCGCAATGATAAAGAATACCATAAATTTGTTGTTGGAGACTTCAACGCCAAAATAGGAAAGACCAACGAGAGCGAATACAGGGTCGGAAATTTTGGATTAGGAGAAAGAAATGAGAATGGGAACCGTCTCGCAGGACTCCTGTCTGCGGTACGTCTCCCCCATGGAAACTCGTTTTCCAGAAGAAAAAAGCTGCCGCTGGACATGGGAGTCTCCTAACAGCAAGACTCATGCGGAGTTCGACCACAATGTGACAAACAGATGATGGTGCCTACTTGACACACCGGTAGTCCCGTCATTCCGTAATTGCTCCAATGACAGCCGTCTTCGCGCGACAATTCGTTTCAGACTTAAGCTGGTGGAGAATTCATGTCATCGACCACGAGGAAAAAGTCTAGCTGTATACTACGAAAACATTCTGAACCAAGCTCTGTCCAAACGTGGCTTGCAGCTTGACGAAGACGCGTCCGAAGACTAAGAGTTGCTAGTGGAAGGCCAGAAAAGCTATGCCGAATTTGCTCAGTTCCTCAAGCAAGAAGATCGAATCTCATCTTCCCTAGCACTAAAAAATTGCTCGAAAAGAGAACGAAACTACATCTTCATCTTACTGCAACACGTTTAAAACGGCTAGTAATAAATGATAACTACAGAAGAGCTTTGCAGGAAGACCTACATCCGTACACGCAAAGGAAACTACTGGAAGCAGCAGAGAAAAGCTGCAGTCTGACAAAATGTCGTCGGGACATGTGTGACTATAATGCTACGCTGTAAGCCCGATGAACAAAAACGGGATCCGAATGTGTCGCTTTCTTGTTCAGCAATCGCGAGGTTTTTAAATAGCATACATTTACTTCCATAAAAAACACAATACAATACAACGCTAGCTGACGTTTCGGCAGTATCGCCTTCTTCAGAGCCGTTTTTTCGTGACTTCGTGATGAAAAATGGGGTCGTTAAAACTTCTTGTCATGATATGGAATTGGTAACGGAAACGTCTACACGACCCTTTTCCGTTCCACAATCCTCGTCCCGGACCCTAATATTCTCGCTGGAGAAAAACCACCTGAAATTCTTCTGTCGGAAGTTCGAGCTGCGATAGAAATCATGAAAAGAGGGAGAGCTCCAGGACTCGATAATATTACCGCCGACTTCCTTAGAGCTTGAAGCCACAGTTTATATGTACTTTTCGCAAACCATATGACAGCCTAACTTTAGAAGGAAAAAATCCCAGACCTGTGGACGACGTCGCGCACGGTAGTCTCGCCCAAGAAAGGTGACTGGAGGGATCTTCGTAACTATCGTCCAGTATGCTTGTTGTGTGTACTCTACAAGCTCTTCACGAGGATTTTCCTCTCGCTCATATCAAGGACATTGGATGAGGCTCAACCAGTCGAAAAAGCAGGATTTCGAAAAGGGTTTTGCTGCATAGACCACATTCAAACCGTGTTCAAGGTCATCGAAGTTTGTCGGGAATATCAATTTCCTCCAGTCCTAACCTTTGTCGACTATGAGAAAGCGTTTGAGAGTGTCGAAAATCAGCGCTCGTCGACCAAGGAGAGGACCCGTCCTACAAAGAAACTTTGCCTGACTGTTATCTGAAGTGCACTACTAAAATACAGCTATTCCTTCGACATTTTATCATATCCATAGAAAAAGTGGTTTGGCAGGGAGACACAATATCGTCAAAGCTGTTTACTGAACCGCAGTGGATAATGAGGTTATTGGAGTGGAAAGAGGAGGGTATATGTATTGATGGAAAATTGCTATCAAACTTTCGTTTTGCCGGCAACATCGTCATCTTCTCAAGAAGTAGTAGCGAAGCAGAGACGATGATAAAAAAGCTCAACGAAGCGGGAAAAAAGATCGGATTGCACATAAATCGAAAGAAGACGCAGTTCATGAAAAACCCATAGTGCTAAGGCGAAAATTTTAAACTGGATGGCTCCCTGAATGCAGAGACCACCTTGTTCGTATATCTTGGGCCATCAATGAACATGGAAAAGACATTTAAGAGAAACTAAGAAAAAGAAGGAAAGCAGCTTGGACCGCATTCGGGCCTCTCAAAGAAGGCAACGACCAATTAAGCACCCGAAAATCCGCGCTTGTCTTTTCGATTCTACGGTCCTCCCAGCGCTCTGTTATGCTGCTGAGACGTGGTTTGACACTTCAACCACGTCAAGAACACTCCGAACTACTCACTGAGAGATTGACCGATGTCTTCTGAAATATACCCCACGCTCAATATTTAGCTGGAATGCGAAGTTCCGATCTTCGAAATCTATCACATCTTCCAGACTCAGGAAAATATATATCGATAGCAAAACATTGATGGGCCGGTCACGTAACGAGAAAATCAACAACAGATGGAGGAAAAGTGTAGAGTGGACTCCACGAGAATGCTAACCTCCCCTAGAACAGCAGTCTTCACATTTGGCTGACATGTTCGTAAACAAAGTTAATCGGGTGTACCTGCAGCTGCAGTTATTTTACAGAGCACGGTATGAGACTCGCACGCGGTACAATGCTCGAATAAAACCACCACCATGGACGACGATTGCGAGAGAAAGAAACGAATGGCAAATGTGCTGGCCTCCACGCAATTCGAGAAGACGGACATCCAAGAATCCAAGTAAGTAGGTTAGCTTCAAACCTGCGCTTCGCGTTAAATTTTGATCTCGTCTTAGATTCTCATTCCCATTCCGCTTTCTTGTTCCTTCTTTTCATCTTGCGATCTTATCCTCTATCTCCTTTTTCCGTTAGTTTTCCAAGATTTCTCTTCCCCTCTCATTCCCGCTGCTTTGTCGTGATTCCACTTTCTTTCGTTTATGTATTCCATTATTTGCTACGCTAAATGAGGAGCTTTACCAAGCTTTGATTAGACAACTAAGATTGCTGATTACTTCGTTGAAAAATGGACCACTTAAGTAGTTGTTGATGTTTGTTTTTTCTTGGTTACTTTGTAAACCTATGTCTCAGCATTAGTACACAATTAAAACGTAATACCAGTTGTTGTTTCTTCTGTACACTCTTGCCTTTTCTTTGTTATGTTCTGATAAAATATCATCCTATTCTTAAACGTTTTATTTACTGCCTACTCTATTTGATGGTAGGGTATACTGTGAAATATAACTTCGATGCTGAGATAAACTCCGGACCGCAGTTGTCTGCAGTGAGGAACGAAAGCGCTATTATCCTTTCTGGGAAGTAACGTGTTCACCACCACACCATGCGAGTCCTTCGTTTCGCCTGTTTCTCAGCTAGTTCTATAGATTAATGCCGTCAGCAATCACCCGCCAACGAGATTGGTCTAGAGAGCCCAAATCGGTATTGAACCCAGTTAAGCAGGAAACGAAGGACCCACATGGTGTCGTGGTGAATGCGTTACTCTCCGGAAAGGACAACAGCGCTCGTTCACCACCGCAGACACCTGCGGTCCGGAGTTTTGCAATTATCTCACCATCATTGAAGTCATCATCCTATTATTACACTCGGAGTTAAGCCAAAAAAAACTAATGCAAAAGTTTTAAGACATGTAGTGCTACATCTTTCAATGGAAAGCCAACAGGCAAATTAAGCTGCGTGAAATTCACATTTAAACCAGTATCAGCTTTTGCCAATTTAACTCAAGAAAGCATCGTGGCTCATAATTGCATGTTCCTAGAAAATTAACATGGAATGTTTTGAGTCACCTTTATCACCTGTATCACTAGTTGTCCCGTTGATCATCGAGTGACTCGAGCGGGCGCCAGGAAATCTTCCATTTTTCCCTGTCTCATGCAAGAGTAGCTCAGTGGGTTCTGCTCGCTCTAGGGACTCGTCGAGCATCATATCTTTCTTTCAGGCCTTTCGTGAAAAACTCTGACCATCGAATCGGTGGTCTTCCTGCAGCACATTTAGCATCCCAAGGAATCCAGTCGCTAACAGCTCTCGTCCATCGGTTGTCATTCATACGCATTACGTGTCCGGCCCACCTTATCTTCGACTGTTTTGCGTACAGAACGACATTTTTGGTCTCTGATCGTTGACGCAGGTCGGTTCGGGTCTCTTCCATTACTTGCGTGATACGAGGTGCTCCAAGAATAATACTTTCGATTGCGCATCCAATAACGCTGACTGATCTTTCATTCTGCTTAAGCAGCGACCAAGTTTCTGACGCATACGTTATGGTAGGAAGTACCGTTGAGTCGAAAAGGTGGGCACGGAGTCGGGTGTTCTTTGTTCTTTTCACTTCATCTTCGATGCTCTTCAAAGCTCTCTAAGCCGCTCGTTTTCAACTCTGGAGCCAAGTCGCTCATCGTATTGATTTTCCGACCTAGATAGACATAACTGAAGCACTCGGAGATACTCGTTCCGTTGACCGTGAATGGGGGATGCGAAACCAATCCGTTCTTCATAAACATCGTTTTTGTGAGATTTAGCCGAAGACCAATCGAAGACGAAAGCGAAGATGGTGTAACTGCCGACCGTCGATTTTCACTCCCATATTATTCCATTCCAATGTTCGCATAACGTTCTGGAGGATAGCTGTAAATCATTTTAGCGAGATGGTATCGCCTCGTCTAACTCCTCTTTTGACGTCGATGTTGATATCGTTGTAGAATGGTGATATCTTGGTTGTGAAATTTTTGTACAGCTCACGAAGAATCCTTGTGTACTGAGTAGGGCCACGGTAACTATCAAGGGATTCTCCGACTGCTTCTATCTCATTTGAGTCAAAGGCCTTCTTTAAATTGACGAAAGTGAGCCAGAGCGGCCTTTTGTACTCTCGCGATACTACAATGAGTCGTGTTATCGTGTGGATGTGGTCCATCGTACTAAATCCTTTTCGAAACCCTGCTTGCCCACATGGCTGTCCTTCGCCCAGTGTTCTGTCAATCCTGTGTAGGATGACTCGAGTGAGAAGTTTGTAGACGACAGACAACAAGTAGATTGCGCGATACTTGCCGATATCCTGTAGGTTACTCTTCTTGAACAACAATACAGTCTTACTGATCTTCCGTTGATTAGGGACCTTGCATTCAGACAGGTAACGTGTGAGGAGCCGAGCCAGTGTGTTTAGGAGGACTGGCTGAAGGTTCTTCAGGTGTTCTGATCATATCCTGTCCGGAACTGGTGCCGTTCGATTTCTCACCGACGAAATGGCGTGTTGGATTTTAGAAGAGAGAACCGGTGGTACAACATATCTATCCTCCTTTATTTCATATGATGGAAGGTGGATGTGGCTATCGAAGAGATCCGAGTAGTATTCGAGAATGATTTTCTCCAATGCCTTTCTGGACTTTGTAACTGTTCCATCTGGGCGCTGGAGTGTAATCATCTTGGTCTTGTAATTGGCGAAGCTTCGGTGGGCTTTCGAATGGATTTCCAAGCATCTGCAGCTTCGTCCATTACTGCTGCTCTTCTCTCTTTAAGATCTTCTCGTATCGCCTGTCTGCATTGTTTTGCAAGTTCGGACGTTAGTTCGCGGTTGTCTGCAGCTCGTGCGATTCCACCCTGGCGTATCAGCTCATGCGTCTCTGGAGACAGACGTCTCTTGGTTACTTTCGAACTCTCAGCTTTCATAGCGCTAACGTGAAGATGTTGAATGAGCCAATCGCATTCTTCGCCGATGTTATCGACAACGGCATCCTCCCAATAGCCTAGTAACGAATTGAATAAGTCCCAGTTTATGGTGGTCTTTCTACTTACTGTGATGTGGTCTATTTTGTCATGGTACTCTCCATTGGCAGACTCCCACGTCCAATGTTGAGGGTGGGGCTTATGGAATTGCGAGTTACCATGAATGGTCTTTGTCGTCATTGTAAGCTCAGAAATCCGCTCACCCTGTTCGTTCCAATCTAATCCGTGGGTTCCAATGTGACGTCCTTCAGACGTTTTTCTTGGTCCAATCTTGGCGTTGAAATCTCCAATAATGACCTTGGAGAATGTTTGGTCTTCTCTGTAAAACTTCTCCAAGTTCATATAGAACGCTTCGACTTCTGCTTCGTTATAGTTTGATGTCGGCGCGTAAACGACGAAGATTTTCAAAGCCGGTATTGATCCACGTCTTTTTACTCGTGAACGTCCGATTCGGGTTGTAAGCTGTTCGAATGAATCGATGTTCATGGACTGACTCGTGCTGACGGGAACGCCGACGCCGCCGACTCCTCTATTATCGCATGTTCCGAGGAACAGTTCTCCAGTGTCATAGACGGCGTCGAATGGGTGGCGTCGTCTCATCTCGGCTATGCCTGTAACGCCGTACCTTATCGTTCTTGCTTGCATGATCAACTCTTCTATCGAGGACTCGGATGCAAGCGTGCGTGCGTTGTAGGTAGAGATCGTCACCATAGTTCTTTGTAATCCAGGCAGCTTCCGTTGGCCCTGAGATTTTAGCAGCCTCTCCGTACTCGTCCTACCCAACGCTGCGAAATTGGCGGCTCCTTAGGGGTCAGGGAAATGAGGCCCGTTTTTTTAAAATGTGCTTGGCATTTTTGATACCTACGTATAGCTTGCTAGGCTCTGAACATGTGGCTGTGTATACTCACGGGTAGATTACCAGTCTCTCCTAGAGTGGACGTGCAGCCTATTTATTGGAGGCGGCTCCTAACAGCCTCCCGTATATTTCCCTGCTACTTGAATGCAGGTTTTTGGGCGAACTGACTCGCCGAATTCAATCCGCATAAAGTAGAACGACCCACACACGCATGCATGAATACGCCTAGCAAATACAGAAAGTATGTGCCAAATCGGCACAGCAGAAATAGGGAGTCCATCTCCTGGATCCACTTGCGTGTCAGGAAAGTAAGGGTCGATTTTTTCCGTGATTAACCCCCTATCCACCTCCTGGACGCCACGTAGTCTCGCGACTAACCGGCTCGAGATCCCTCATATGAGGGAGATCCGTGTTTTGAGTTAGGTAGCAAAAATACCAACATTTGCTTTTCACATCCCGGCAGTGCATTCCAGATTGTTAGTATAATAGCTCATAATGAAAATTTACATTCCTAGGACGAAAAGAAAGATGCCCGCGAACTGACAGAAAGCAATTTCGGCCTAGTTTAGTTTTTACTACATGAACAGCGAACTGGATGAATAGTGTCAGTAGGTGAACACGCGCAGTCGGGGGAAATACAGAAGTCCTAGGTTTGTGAATTTCGTGCTGGGCTTGTGGTAATTACTTCAGGCATGAAATATGGACACAGATGTAAGGAATAGACACTAAAATCGAGAAGATAAATTCGTGTAAATGGAAAAATTTTCACAAAGACAAACATGAGTAGATCTATGATTATTGTGGAATGTGCCTGCGATACATAATGAGATCTTCACGTAAGAAGTACCAGTTGGCCATCTGATCAACAACATATCCTGCACTGTCTGCAGCAGCAGCAACAATAACAACAACAGGAACAACAACGACTGCACTGCTACGACGGCAAGAAAACAGTGATTGTTGCCTTGGCTCTTTGATCGAACCACTTACCAATTTTTGGTACCCCGGAATAAATTTTAGTACAAGCTTCGGTCATTTCTACATTACTGAAATCATTCTATAGCTGCTCTATTTGAAATGCCTTATGAATTTTGAACAGTTGCTATTATAAATAAACCTTAATCAAAAATAGCCATCGTTGTCGTTACCAACCGTGGATGAATTAGTGTTTATTAGTGTTCGGGATATTAACATGGAAACTTTGCAAAAATATTCTCTTTCGAGCGATGTTTCCTGTCGACCTGTTAAAAAAAGGATAAAGCTCTCCGCTTCGATCAATCCCTGAGGGATGCGACACGCATTTGCCTTCATTAAGTACCGTTGGAGGTGACTGAATGCATATCTGGCCTTTAATCGCGGTGGCTTACGGATGTATCGAGCCAGTGCTGCTATCCTCCCAGACAGGTCTAGTACGAATTTGCCGACCTCGGAGTGATGGAAGGCTTGGTAGGCCATGGGAGCGGGAATCGATTTCACGTTTGCGTTGCAAGGCGCTCCTGACCATTGCGCCATACGCGCCCTTTCGTGCTGTTACCGACAAGATTTTGTGCTCTTTCGAAGTGTATAGTTGTATTATAATACAAATTATATTGTTGCAAACTCAAAAGGTTAGAATTTGAAATTTCAATACAGCAATTTGGAGAAATCTACGTCAACGGATGGCGCAGGTAGAGCAGTGGTTAGAGGTCGCTGTATGGCTTACAAGGTTTATGGTTCGATCCCGCGCGCTGTACTCAACAACTGTTAGTACCTTTCCGGAGTAAAAAAACCCTAGAGGTAGTCTTCCCTGCGAGGATAGTAGCAATGGCGTGATGCATTGATAAAACACAATTATTTGCCTT